CTTGGCAGCAAATGAAGAAAGTGGCTGGTGAAACTTTTGTAGCAAACATCGCCACCAGCAAGCTACCAAGACTTTTGAGAAAAGTTAAAGTTGCTGCTCTTCTGAAGCCAGGAAAAGCTGCTGATGACCCACACAGCTACAAGCAAATATCTCTTCTTCGTACAGCCTACAAGCTCCTGGAGTGAGTACTGCTAGCCCGACTCTCCTCTCTTGGAAGCCACCAAACCACCTGAGCAGGCAGGTTTTCGGCCACAACGAAGTTGTCGTGACCAGGTCCTCGCCTTGACATCACACATCCAAGCCGGCTTTCAGTATAAGCAGAAGAAGTAGCTGCTTTCATAGACTTGTCCTCTGCATACGACACGGTCTGGCGCTGAGGACTCCTCTTTAAACTCGCCAACACCATTAAGTGTGAAAAAACGGTTTGCTTCATCGCCAATATGATCAGCGACCGACAATTTCAGGCCCATCTCGGAAACCAGGTTAGCCGCCCACGAACTCGACAAAATAGCCTACCGCAGGGGTTAGTATTAGCACCAGCCCTCTTCAATCTTTACACCAGCGACATGCCGGACACGTTAAGCCGCTAGCCAAGCGACGATGCTCAGCGTAGCTTAAGACAGCTTGAACACCAACCTAAATGAATTGGAAAATTATTTCAACTCCTGGCAACTTAAGGCAAACCCAACCAAGAAAGTGTCCTCAGAATTCTATCTCAACAATGCACAGGCAAAAAATACACTGAAGATCGAGATTTGTGGTAATGCCATATCCCACGACCCACTCGCGAAATACCTTGGGAGTGGTGCTCGATCGAAGTCTCACTTTCAAGCAACACATTAAGCATTTGAGCAACAAGATAAAAACCCGCACGAACATTGTCCGTAAACTGCCAGGAACTAGTTGGGGCTGTGATGCGCGAATACTACGGACTGCCATGCTCGCCTTCGTGTATTCGATGGGAGAGTATTGATCAGCTGTGTTGGGACGCACAGGTGATCAATACTGAACATCGCAATGCGCGCCATCTCAGGTGCGCTGAAGTCGCCGCCGACCCTGTGGCTCCCGGGACTCACCGACATCGCTCCGCCGCAAATGCGTCGTGCAACAGCGGCCATCTAGGAGTGCCAAAACATTATCATCCACATGCTCCTTCCAAATACATCGGGACATAAACCTTATGCCGCCTACTCTTTGGCTCTTTCGGTAAAGTCATGTAGGTATAAAATAAAATGTATTTCTCACGTAGGTATAAAAATAAAATGTATTTTATTTTAAAATTAAAATTTATTTTAAATAAAATGTATTTTATTTTAAAATTAAAATTTATTTTATTTTTAAAATAAAATTTATTTTATTTTTATACCTACGTGAAAAATAAAATGTATTCCATTTTTATACCTACGTGACTTTACCGAAAGAACCAAAGAGTATGGATCCCTGCAGTCACGAAAACTTCAAATCTAGATTGACTAATGCCGCCTGTTCGCCTACAATCACACCACCCCTTCTGGATCACAGCAGCCTCACTCCACGCCACGAATACAAATGAAGGCGAGAGATGGAAGCGAGTCCAGACTGCGGCCGACGTCAAAAATAAACATCTCATACAGGACCCTACCGTCGAACCTCCCCGTTTCACCCTCCCACGCCGCCAGCGGTCGACCATCAACCGAAACGGGACCGGGCATGGCCGATGCGGCCACCTGATGCACAAATGGCGCATAAAAGATTCGGCGGCCTGTGAGTGCGGTCACGAATCTCAAACCATCGACCACATTGCAAACACTCGGCTGCTGCTGTTTTCACTCCTTTAAAAGCGGAATGGACGAGATACACTCTGTGTCTGAACAGACACATTAAGTGGAGAACAAATCTAAAATTGCATCTTTAATCTGCTGCAATTAATCCATACGAAAGAAGAAAAATCAGCCACACGAAAGAAGATTGCGGTGGCTGATCGAGCGAACAGCAGTCATCGGCAAAACACATTGGTGGCATCGGCATAAACATTGAAAAAACACCATAGCTTACGCAGACGTGCCTTGAATTAGAGGAAATGCTTGCAAGCTGACGCCTCCGCAAAGCAAAATTCAACCCCGTACCGTGTTTTCCTGGCAGATTATGTGATTGGATTTGGTGAATGTTGCACGTTCACGCTGTGCGATGGCTTGCTTGTGCTGCGCAGGGGGCCAGAGAATTAAGGAGAAAAGCCAAGCCTCCTGCTTCGGGGAATGTGAACAGATCCGATGATGACAATGCTCTTTGCTTCGGCTAAGCATCTGCATGCTGGCGTCTATGCCAATTTAAATGCCTTCGTTTATATTAAAACATGCCATGGGTTCCCATCCCGAGGAAACGTGAGAAACTCAGTTTGCCTTGTTGGAAAGATCGTTGCTGCCAGCTGGGCATGCAAATTGCTTAAACTCGCGTGAGTGAAGGTCTAAAAAATTGTAAGGACATTACTAATCCTATTATAATCCTTATTTTCTAAAGTTGCATTTTTCGCATCAAAGCAATGATAGAGAAACTGTAACTTCATTCACCCCCAATTCACCCCCACCCCATCTCCTCCGTGACCAGGAGAGCTCGGTTAGGAGGCCTTTGTTCGTTAGTGGATCTAAAAAAATTACGGGATATGTTTTTTTTTTATTTTCGCCAAACAATAATGAAGGGTCATTGGAATGTACTTTAGTAGTTTATTTTGGATAATTTATTGTTTTATTTGAGCATTCAAATTGGTTACATTTAAAACCAGGTTACTTTTTTTGCAGAAGCAACCTGCAATTACACGGCGGTAAGATGTTAACTACCTCGCCTGGTATATAGGAGGTCGTGGGTTCGATCCCGACCCTGACGCTTGTATATAGTATTTGGAGTTTGCATGTTCTCCCCGTGTTTGCGTGGATATTTCTCCAGGTCAAAATAAAAAAAAGTTTTAGTTTCAGATTTTCACGAGTGCCACCTAATGGATAGTTAATGTCATTGTCATACTGCCGTCGCTTGGATAGCAGCAACAAATTATTTGGACTTAAAGCTTTCGTGACTGCAGGGATTCATATATTCTTGGGTCTTTCGGTAAAGTCACGTAGATAGGACGAACGCTTGTGTTGCGATCGAAACGTCGTAGTTTTTTGTTATTTTTTGTTATTTTCTTTGAACCTATCTACGTGACTTTACCGAAATACCCGAGAATATACAAATTTTTTTTTCAGCAAGGCCATTATTAATAATAAATTACGTTTATAAAGCGCGTTTATACAAGGTAATGCAAGGCGCTTGGAGACGACGACTCAAGGTAGGCTCGAACCACCTTGCCCAGCACCTCCTTTTCATGGGCATCCAACTCGAGCACTTTAAAGTTCACTGGGCCCGCTGACAGGACCCAGCGGTGATGGGTTCTCTGCTGATTTGCAGTCGTTACCGTAGCGTGTACATAACCGTAATGACCCACACCGTCTGCTTCATCTGTCACAGCGGACGCTGAAGATCCCCTGATGTAATTGGCAAGGGTTTAGGCCAAGTTGGGACGTTACACCGCAGATTACTCGACCGTTTGTTTGCAGGCCAGGTGCTGAGTCACCTGGGGCCCACAGGGACAGCTGCCACTGAGGTCACCGCTCCGACCGAGTAAAGCACTCGGAAATCGTAAGCGTGCGACGGTTGGCACATGATTGTCCCAACGTTGTTAGCTCGACGGTCTGTGTTTACTTATGGGACGCCCTGACGTATATTAGGGGCCGTCCATAAATGACGTCACGCGATTTTGGACGATTTTTTACCCCCCCCTTCGTCACACGACGTCACAGAAAGTCAGACCCCCCCTCAAATATGACGTCACAAAGCTCTGCCCCCCCCCCCCCCAAAGAAAATATATAAAACATGCTTCAAATCGCTGTAAACTTTAGTCATTGTAGTGCGTATTTAATGTGGCGTTGCACTCTGATGTTGGAGGAGAAAACATTAATTAAAAAAAATATATTTAATTAACTAGAACGTGTTGTCTATATCTATATTTTTTATAGACAACACGTTGGGGGGGAAGCTCAATAATGCGTATTTATTTTGCACGGCAAGTGAGCTGTGACGTCAAATCTGTCACGTGACCCGCGCACGTGGAAGCGTAACGCATTGTAGTGTAGTGGTTAGCGCGCTGTGTATGTGTCTGTGTCTGTCTGTGTGTGTGTCTGTGTGTCTGTGTGTGTGGAAGCGTAACGCATTGTAGTGTAGTGGTTAGCGCGCTGTGTATGTGTCTGTGTGTGTATGTCTGTGTGTGGAAGCGTAACGCATTGTAGTGTAGTGGTTAGCGCGCTGTGTGTGTATGTCTGTGTGTGTGGAAGCGTAACGCATTGTAGTGTAGTGGTTAGCGCTACGCTGCGCTACGAACCCGGCGACCCGAGTTCGATTCCCGCTCACGGCCACCACCGGTGACGATTATTTCAACCGGTTCTGGGCCTCCCCTAGGTCGACTCAGCCTCAAACGAGTAACTGCTGTGGTGTGTCAACATCGCCACTGGGGAGACAAAGGCGGCCGGGTGTGGTGAATCCAAGTCCCGTGGGAAGCCGGGTAGTACAGCTAGTTTGATATAATTTGCGTGTTTCAACACGTTGGTGACCCTTCAGGTCGTTCTTGCAAAATGACACCTCAACCCATCCCGCTCTCTTGAATCCTCACCTCGGTTTTTTTTAATCTTCAGCAACAAAAAATCAACTCGACTTGATTATATTTTGACAGTTTGGCTCATTGCCAATTGCGTTTTAATGTGAACTATCAAAAACAAATCTGGAGGCATTCCAATGTTCACTATAAAATACAAACGCGATTTTCAACCCCCCCCCGCTACCCCCAACTGGGCTATAATAACCACCCCCCCCCAACGTCGTGACGACTACGTGACGTCAACACAATGTGTTCGTGATGACGTCACGACACGACTGGTCAAAGGCGGTGGACGCTGTTGGCGCGATGACGTCGCGTTCCACGTTACCCAATGGGGAGCGAGAGGGTGCGGTGGGGGGCCTCGTGAGCCCGCGCCGCGCGCGTGACGTCAGCGCGCGCGGGTTTATTTGTTTATTTATTTACTCGGAGCCGTGCGGGCTAAGGGGATGCTGCAACGGAGGAGGGTTGAGGGCGACTTCGATTCAATAATTTAGTTTTTTTATTCTTTTATCCTCCTCTCCCTCCCCCCCTCCTCTTTTTTTTTTATAACCCGCTCGTTTCCTCACAATAGTCTCCTTTCGCCGCTAAAGGTAAGGTTTCGTGTAAACGTTTTATTTTTTATACAAACATATTTCTGTATGGTGTGTGTGTGAGATCATTCGGGCGCTGCGGGGTAAATGGTCGCGGCGTCGGGCCCCTCAGGTACGGCCACAGACGACGACGCTCTACTGCTGCAAGGTGGTGAAGTGTGGGGAGAAGACGCGGATTTTGTGTTGTAAATGAATACCCAAATGATGATTGCGGATTCGCGATCACAGCGGTGTAGCCACACCGTGGATTTACAACAGTAGGCGTTGTTGGTAGTCGTTAATGGTTGTTGTCAATCGGTGGTGTGGCGTGTGTGGAGCGAGCTGGTGGTTAGAATGCATCGGGCAGGTGCAGGATCCAGTCAAACGTTAATGGAAAAAAAAATCCTGCTCGCATCAGGCCTCCATCCCTCCATAACGTTGTTACGTTATCCATAGCCTGGTTAATCCTACGAGAACTGTGTTCACGGCAGTGTTAGATGTTGACGCTTCACGGGTGCCATCCATCGTCAGTCTTGTTCAAATCCACTGCTGGATGAAAAAGGCAATCTTCCTAAGCGGACCCGAAGACACGGTTTTCTGTGGTCGCACTGGAATATTGGAGTAGTGTTAGTGCCCTGTTATACAGTAATATAGAATACGTTGTATATTTACAATTAAAATAATAATAATTTGGAGTCCTGTTGCAATCAACTGCTGCATTGATGCCTCACCGCGCCGTGTCAGTGGTTGGACATTGTTTAACCATACTTCACCACCCTGGTCAAGTTGCTGGTTGATGAAGGTGGGGGGGAGACCAGTGAACGTAATCATTTGCCACTGATGTTGCCCGTGGCTGGGAATCGAGCTTAGAGGTTAACTGATTCCCCCCCCATCTCCCTCAGCGCAGTGCGCCAACCACGATTCCACCAGTAACCATCTTGCAATAATAATGTATTGGTAAAACGCGCACCCCCTGATGTAAAGTGGACATAGATGACTACAGTACAACACAGCGACGGTGTTCACCAGGCGAGAGCCCGTTTACACAGTGGCATCTTGCAATGAGGAGGTTACAGCTCATGTGTAAGTCTGGAATTCTAAAAAAATAAACGTACAGGGCAAAATGCATGTTTCTGTGGGGCTTTGTGAAATGTCTGCAGCTTTTGTTAGGAAGTTATGAGTGGTCGTCCTATGGGGGTGTCTAGCCCCTGACATGGGAATGTGGAATTTGGGCCGAGGCCGTTTTTGCCTTATTTTTTTGCGTCTTCAACACGCACTGCGATGTATTTAAAGGTTACAGAATCACCACAGGCACCCCCTCATTACATAATCATCATTACACAATATGTATCCTGTCACCAAATCACCTGGAATTCATTAGATTTAATGAAATCTCGAGAGCGAAGCAGAGTTGATACATAAAACAGGTGCCACATGCTACTGCAAGACAACCGTGTTGGCAGCAAAGTGCAGTGCTGAAAAATCAATTCTACTGTTTAACAGGGAGGCTTTCGCGACCAATTTTATCCCATAATACAGGGGTTTTTTGGGTTAGATCGCGTATATATTAATGTGTCGTTCAACCCCGACAGCCAATTTGTAATGCTTGTTACCGTAAGCAAAACATGTCCGTTACTATTTTGATTTAAAGCTTTCGTGACTGCAGGGATTCATATTCTTGGTTCTTTCGGTAAAGTCACGTAGAAGGGAAACAATAAAATATTACAAATATAAAACAATAAAATTCTCACGACGTTTCGACTGCAACACAAGCAATCGTCATCAGGTGTGTTGATGGTGATTGCTTGTGTTGCAGTCGAAACGTCGTGAGAATTTTATTGTTTTATATTTTTATTATTTTATTGTTTCCCTTCTACGTGATTTTACCGAAAGAACCAAGAATATGAACCAAGAATATGTCAGTTACTAGTTAGGCACATCGGGTGTGTTGGTGGTGGCGGGTTTAACAACACATTCATATTTACGCGATCAAACCCCACAAAAAAACCGTAATGAACAATTAATTGTACCGTACGCCTGTGTTTCCACATCTATGCTTTCGATCTTCATGAACCTGCACTGACCAGCATGGTGAAGTATGGCTAAATAAGCCTCGTAACCCACACAGCGTGGGGAGGCCCTTATCTATGTCTACTGACAAAAAGAGTTGTTCACATGCTCGGCAAGATTTGATGTTAATTTCCATTGTCAATGTCTTCCGATAGCTCTACACACCCGAATAATAATACACATGAGTGAGCTTTCACCATGGTAAATAACACATCTCGAACTGTGTTCACATGTTCATTTATTTTCATGTTTATTGCTGTCAACTTATGTTGACTAGTAATTCATGTATTTTTTTACATTTGTTTATTAATCCATAAAAGTTTTTTTTGTTTAGACCGTGTAAATATGAATGTGTTTAGTTACTGTTTAGTTACTAGTTCAGCACACCGGTGTGTTGGAGAGTAACCCCCACATAATTTATATTCGAGCACGACGTTTTGCTGGAAATTACAACCAGCCTCATCAGGCGACAGTCCGAATGGTGGACAAATCCTACGATGCTGTTACATCTTAAATAAGATGGGGCTACATGTGATGTTATCACTTGTGAGCCAACCAGGTGCGAAAACCAGAGGGGTGGGTGGGGGGGCGATGGGTCATATTCGGTCAAGTACAATGGATATCTATTATTGGTTGGGTTATTCATAGATAATCATTATTATTCTTTATTAATGCCCTCAAATGAAAGTGGTGTAAATTTTACGTGCAAATTACATTTAGTTCTGTCCCTTGCAAGCATACCTCGATGGACCTTTTCATAAACAGAAATTGAGCGATTGTATCGCATATATTTTCTTGCGTGGTTTTTTGTTTGCACTGGCTAAACAATGCACTGAAAACATTCGTGCAAATCTATTTGGGTGTGCCACAATTTTAACTGCGATCGAGACTGCTAATTCATTCCACAACAAAACGCATCACTTGCTGATTGGGGGGGGGGGGCAGACATGTCATCTCTAAGGACTTCAGTCTGGCGAACTGAACTCAAATAACTGTATATAGAAAACAAACAAACAAACGTGTGTCGCAGCCTACAGTGACATTCTGTGATTCTAGGGGTCGTTTGGCAGTGTTGCGTCTGCAGTTAGAATCTGATGATAGGTTTCTGCCGTTCTACTGACATTCGCGCTCTCATTCGATGATTGATACAAGGCGGCCTTGGTTTTTTTTACTCCTGGGAGCTGAAAAAAAAACGTGACAGTGTAATTGGAGTTGTCATTAATCAAAGCCTAATGCAGATAAGCGTGCATGCAAATACGTCTCATTCTTGTATGATTGATAACTAGCAGGTAAGGTGATATTAACACAAGCTGGGCTTTGTTTCTTAAACCGTAGGCAGTCATTATGATGGAGTCTTAAGTTGTATTTAAGTGTTGCGTGGATATGTACTGTGGTGAGAAGTTGCAATAATGGAGAGCTGAACAGGATAAGGTAAATTTTTCTACACTCAGTTGAATGTATAACATTTTTTGTCATTAATTATGCTTTTTTAGCAGGGACAAAAATCCCCTCCAACAATTTCAAGTGTAAATGTTTGTCACTCGTAGTTTATAAAAAAAAAACAAATCGTGTGTCCCCTGTGAACAATGCATTTACCTTTTATTAGCAGTGAAAATACACACGGTGTTGAGAAAAATGTGTCTGCTTGCTTTTTCATTTGTCGGGCAGACAAGTACAGCCAGAAGATTGAATGTGCTTTGCTTTGAAAATAGTTATTGGGCAGCCAATCACTTAACTATAGAGCAGCATACTACAAGTTATCATTTTTTGTAGAACCGCATTTGAGACATTTTCCTCCAACACTTTAGAGGGGAATTATAGAAGGTTTTTTTTAAAGTAATGACCTCTCTTTGAAATGCATTCATTTTGCTACACAACGTAAAATTAATCTGTAGCCGTTGAATACCAAAAATAGGCAAGATTTAATGGATGTGTCAACTAGGTTCAATCAAACGGTTGATGTGGAAAATCAATCTTGCCAGGTAGACCAGAACGTCAGTTGACTTTTAATTCTACTTCGTTTACGATTGGAGACTATAAAATGTGCAGTAATTGTATTTAACAAGCTGAAGTGCAGTTTAAATGTGGGTAACAAATCACTGTACAGGTGACTGATATTTCCCATTGTAGGTTTTAGTATGGATGCATGAAGGGATTTGTCTAGAATGTGGGCATTGTAACGTTGGTGCCACTCTAAGGCTGTTCCTTGCCAGAATGGCAATTTTATATGAAGACTAGCCACCCATCATAGATTGTTGAAGGATATACAATGGAATGTGGCCTTTAGGCAACACGTGTAGTTATTGATTGAAAGACAATTGCCTGTCAGAATATTTTATATAGCATTTAATAATAGAAGACAATAGTATTTATATTAAAACTTTTTTTAAATCAATATATAGTGCTTCACAAAAACATTCCACCAACATTATAGTCAATGACACTATTACAAGGAAAAATATATACAGTTTATTATTATGCTTGTTTTCCCAGGAAAGCCTCATTGAGTCTCAAGACACTTTTTTAGGAGGGTCCTGCCAAGTTTTCACAGTAGGAGATGACGATTGCTATGTATATAGTATTCCAAACGAGTCATGGGTAATATTTTTGCCATATTTACATGGGTGACATTTCAGGCATAGGCCTTTATTCGTGGCATGGCATGGTAAAGGTGCGAACGAAGAAACTTCAGAGTGAGTGACGTACGCAGAGGAGAGGTTGACAGCGTGGATTTGGAACAGGGGGTCAGCAGTGCAGACAGCCAGGAAGTGGGAATTACAGATTTCAGAGGGAGCAGCAGAGAAGGTGCGACCTTCTATCGAGCGTGCGTAGGTTGGACTAAGGTTTAAAAAAAAAATCTTGTTTGTTGGAGCAGGATACAGGCGGGGGGGGGGGGGGCTACATCAAGATTTAGATGAGACGGTAGTGGCAGGCAGGGAGAGATTCCATGAAGATATTGTAAGCTTGCAGTTGATCTGGAATTGGCTAGGAATCCAATGGAGGGATTTGAGGATTGGGGTGGTGTGTGGAAAATGTTATATAGTAGCGTTTACAAAACCAGTGACAATGTATTAGCAGTCTACCACTGTACATTGCTTTGTATCAAAACACTCTTTCAGGAAGGGCATGGATAAGGATATTATCCCAATTCCTTAATTAGTGTTTTGCATGCGAAAGGAAGTGAAAGTACCCTAAAAAACCCCACAATGCGAGGTGAAACTGATTTGTTAAAAATCATTTTGCAATGCCTCATTGTACTGTGAGCGATTCAAAAGAAACGGGGGGGGGGGGTAGGTTATGTTTGTATTATTTTGGTAACCAGTAGGTTTTGCTCGTCCTGTTCAATAAAATCCCACAAGAATAAATTGATATGAAAGGCCCATTGGTGAATAGTAACTGTTATCCTCGTGATGAAAGTCATTCCCTTGTTTATTTTGTTCTTTGATCTGATATAATTTATTTAAAATAGATGAATGCTAATTTAAATGCAAACGATTTCAAATGATTTCCCATTTTATTTTTCAACGGGCAGCGCTTTGAAATTAATTTTGGAATGACATGGACGTACGAATGTATACTTTAGCAGCTAGATTTGAAGCTTTCATGACTGCAAGGATTCATACTCTTTCTTTTTGTCAGTAAAGTTAAGTGACTTTACCGAAAAAAACAAAAGAGTTTTTTAGCAGCTATGTGGCATGCTGTGGCTGTAACATCACAAAGGTCACGTTTGTATTACTATGGTGCAGAGGCTTTGGTCGGACGGCGAAAATAAACCAAACCTCCCTTCCCCCCCCACTGTGCTCCTAAGACATAGGTTGACAGTAATTGACTGTACCTGTATATGATGGTTTTCTTCCTGTGGAGTGTGGCTGAAATGGTTACCTTGTCTCGAAATAAGTAGTATTTAAAAAAGCTTTTTTTAAAAACACGCTTTCATGAAATGTACCGTACTAGTAATGGAAGAACTCCACGACTCCAGGAAGTGGCCCCGAAGCTTGCCACAACGTATAGGACCGTGGTGATTTACATGCAACGTCAATTGAGCGTGGACAATTAGACCCAAGCCGAAACATAACATATAAAAAAGAATGTTTAAATATATATTTTAATGATAGAATATAGTATTGTCATCAGTATGACATACGTATACCAAGTTTGCAGTCGATAGCACATTGGGAAGTGGGTAAAAATTGAGTTACAAGATTTGAGGATACAACAACACTGAGTTAATAAAAAGCGTGTAAAATAACGGGTACGCGTGGCCCGTCTTGAGAGCTGTCGCCAGCGAATTAAGATACATGTGCAAAGTAAACGAGGCTTGCAATCATTCACCCACCCCCATAACAAATCTCAGAAGTACATGAATTGGTATGATTTGTGGTTAGTTAATTATGTAAATACAGGTGTGTGTGTGTTTGAAACCTTTGATTTGAATAGTTTTTTTCCTTTCGTCTTCGTCACATTTTTTGAAATGTTACAGAATATAATTTACATATAATTTGCATGTCATTTGCTTGTGTTATTCATGCTACTGTCTGTCTTATTCATATTTTCTACCTCATTTACTGACGCATTCTCGTCCAAGAGCATACACTTATCACGCGAACTCCAGGTATCCTCTCGGCGGCTTAAAGCTAGCCATCGAACAAAGACGGTCGCCGCATCGCGCGCTTTCAAATGCGCTTCTGCGTCCATCTGGAACGCATTTCCTTCCGATATTAGGAAGCCACATTATCATATCTACTTCCGTGCCTAGTAACATGCTAATTTATCACTTTAACATCATGCTAATCTCTTACATTAACATAGCCACTTCCGTACCCAGTTACATGCTAATTTCTCACATTAACATCACTAGACCCAGCCACTCCTTGAAATGGGTGTAACCTTGGGCTACACCCATTTCAAACCTTTAAACAGCCTGCATCAGCAGGAGGCCATGGCTTTCCCACCTGATGACGGACGCTTATGTTGCGCCCGAAACGTCGTGATTTATTTTATTGTATACCTACGTGACTTTACCGAAAGAACCAAAGAGTATAGCCACTAGAGCTTTGAACTATTTAAGCTAGATGAAAAACTAATTTCTTTAGAACTGTTTTTTGTGCTTAGTTTGTTGTCTTTCCCCCACACCGCCGATTAGCACGGTTGACTATGTACGGTGTGAAAGAAGTTCAACACACATTGACTCACTGAGCCACGTAGCCTTACGAGGCCTTATCGTCCAACTTCCACAGTTGCCCCTCTGAGGCACGAGGTCATGCGTTGTCGTCTTCGCGTGGTACTTCTTGTTACATTTAGTCGACGCTACTGTCTCGTTGGGTCTGCATAATTTGTCGCAACCAATAGTCTAAAATGGAAAAAGAAATGCGCACATTTTGCACAATTTGAAAATAATTCGCACATGCACAATTTGATGCGTGTATTGTTATATAAAAAATAAACTGGCTACGCGCCAAATTAAAACATTGACTCTACGGTGAAAACATTTTACTGGTAGAAATACAGTAAAACCTTGGATTGCGAGCATAATTCGTTCCGGAAACGTGTTTGTAATCCAAAGCACTCGTATATCAAAGCAGTCGTATATCAGTTGTGATCACGTGACACTCGGCAGACAAAGCGTATACGTACTACTCGTATTGCAAGACCCTCGCTCGTCTTGCAAAACACTCGCAGACCAAGTTACTCGCAATCCAAGGTTTTACTGTAATTGTTTATTCCTTGTATGGAACAGTAGAGCGAGTTCACTGAAAGTAGTTACCCGAATAAATTCACGTAATCATTCTTTCACTGGTTAATCTGTTACCCCTTGCTCAACGATTACATTTTTTGTATGCCCTGCCAACCTTCGTCCTGCACATGGCTTATTTCTGTGTTCATTTTGGTAGGGCAGCTATTTGTGGCAAATATGTCAGTACTGTATCGATCAAATGTGTCTTAAAAAAATACCTTCTGTAATGTAACAGCCACACCAGACATCAATGCTGATGTGGATTAATTTAACAGAAAATCTTTAAACCTATTTAAAAAAAAAACCCTGAATGTGTAGACCTGCCATCAATAACAACCACAAAATGCAGTGGACCCTTGTGGGCACGCATACATTTTCTCTCATCCCGTAAGGGACTGGCTTTTGGAGCCAAGTAATAATGGGAATAGTGCAGTTTTTAATCATAAACCATAATAGTAAACATGAATTTTTTAAATATGATGCTCACTTTAATAAATTTAAGTGGTTTCATTGATACTGTTATTAGAATGTATTGTTACCATACTGTGTGTTAAAACCATATTTGCGGTTTAAACTGTGACGCTCCCAGCTTTTTCCTCTTCACATATGTAGTGGCTCTATATTTTACACATATTTTGCATTTAATTCGGTGTGTGATTTTTTTCAATGCTTTATCAAAATTTTTATTGTTTGATATACATTTGATTCTTGTATAAACTGTAATGTCACTGGCATATTAAAAAAATATGATTTACGTTTAATATAATCTACTAATATTTTGTTGCATATAGTACATAACTGTTATTTAAAATCAGTCCGCAAATTAAAATTAACAAACCTAATTAACAAATTTGAACATGCCCTCGAACAATAGCATGCCGCCAAACATATATATATAAAAAAAAGAAACCACTCAATTTAAGTAGATCAAATCCGTGCACAGAATTCTGATGTCCAACACCACTGCTTACACGCAGATGTTTTTACCGGGCACTGTGTACCTACTGTTTGTGTGCATGTGGGCAGGCGCTTTATATGACGGCTGCTTGCTTTGCACCAATGAAAGCTTAAGGATTTAATTATTTTTTTTATTCTGACCTGGACACCACGCCCTGTGCGTCTGGGCAGTGTTTTTTTTTTTATGAGGACGAGTCCCCAGGTCGTGCGTGGCGAGGCGGCGGAGCAAGGATGAGCGTCACATCGTGGTTCCTCGTGGCGGGCAGCGGAACCCGCCACCGGCTGCCCAAGGAGATGATCTTCGTCGGGCGCGACGAGTGCGAGCTCATGCTGCAGGTGGGTTCAGGCCCTTCTCGTGAATCCAGTGGCCGCAGGCAATGGGAAGGCTATTCTGGTGGGCCAAAAAAAAAATATATATCATCCAAATCTTTATACCGGCATACTGAAATTCCCGGATCTTATCTTAAAATCACCGTTATCATCAGCCATGATCAATACAGTGCTGGATAAAGGTCTCCCCAAGCCGTCGCTGTCTCTCGAGCACCTGTGCACGAGCTGATTTGATCGGTCATCTCGGACGCTTTCCCTCCCTTGGCTGCAACTGCGGCGTTCGTCTCGACGGCTGGCCCTCATCCTCGTCTAGCGATGTTCTGCCCGGGCCGACTTTTATTAACCTTTTCCCATTGAGACGTCCGCAAGTTGCAGGGTGGGTCCTGTTCACCTCTGAATCTTGGAAAATGCAAGCGGCTCGGCATTAATTTGATTTAAAAGACAGCGCAGTTGTTTTTAAAGACATACTCACCGCTGACAACTGCAGCGACATAACTACACTCTATGATAGCTGACACCAAACTGTGCCACACGCCTTTCCCGCATTGCCTTGCGGGAGCCTCGGTACCGAAAATGTTATTTTATTTTATTCCGGTTTCATTTTGATGGCGTACACGTACATCATCGGAACAGAAAAGGGTTAACAGTCTATCTGATGTCTCTAAATGACATATGCCCTTCAATCCGTTGTGGTCCGCTTTCCTTCTTGCATTGTAATTCCAAGCTTGCATCCGTCCATGTTTCTTTGCACACTTTTTAGCTTTTGTCCAAGTCGGATATTCAAAAACCAGTGTTTCCCTGCGTAAAAGCGCCAAGCTGCTGTGCCCATCATTGTTGGCGGTTTTTGAGCCACTGGGAGGAATTCTACATTACTGTGTCATGGGCTCAGTCTATCATCTGATTGGGATATGAACTTGTAATCATCTGATTGTTAGTTGAGCTCTCTAACGCTATGCATGTATAAATCTTGACTTAAAGCTTTCGTGACTGCAGGAATTCATATTCTTGGGTCTTTCGGTAAAGTCACGTAGATAGGTTCAAATAAAATAACAAAAAAATAATGCAAAAACTACCCACGTTTCAATCGCAACACAAGCAATCGTTATCAGTAGAAAAAATAGCAGGAAAGCTGCTGAGGCAGGATGTTTTAAAGGTTTGATATGGGTGTAGCCCAAGGGTCATAAGCGACGTGGGCAGGGCTAGTGATGTTCAAGTGAGAAATTTGCATGTAAATGAAAGATCGGAGAGCTACATCCACGACGACAAAGCTGCGGAGGTGGCCATTGTATTGTGAGAGATTAGCACGTTAATGTAAGATCGCAGAGCCACCGCCACATCGAGGAAAACGAGTGAGACATTGAACCTGTTGATGTAAAACCAGAGAGTCGAAAATAACTAACATCGGAAGGTATGATGGAAACATCACAGCCAGTTATGACTTAAACTGGTTAATAACGTCCTTCCAATGATTGCCATCTGAGGACCCAATCAAAACCGTCACCTTGTCATACATAGCAGGGGTCATTAAAAATATTTCCAAAATCATGAGCAAACACAAAATCCAGTTCGATTTAACACAGTACATAAAATTCGTGATCTGATCCCACCTGTGAAGGATGTGATCCCTGACATGCAATACCCCGGCGTCTACAAACTAAGCTGTGTCTGCGGCAGTAGTTACATTGGGGAAACTAAGCGACATGTCTCGGACCGTGTTCGTGAACATAAGACAGATCTGAAACACGGTAGGACCAATACCTCGGCCGTGGCTGATCATTGTTTTAATGGGCTCACACGAAATTGATTTCTCTAAGACGAAGGTACTTTGCAAGCCCACTGGCTATCAACAAAGATTCATTCATGAAGCCATCCATATATATAGACACAGACACAATTTCAACCTAGAAGATGGGTACAAACTGAGCGGTGGCTCTGCGATCTTACATTGACATGCTAATCTCTCACAATACAATGGCCACCTCCGCAGCTTCGTCGTCGTGGAGGTAGCTCTCCGACCTTACATTGACATGCGAATTTCTCACTTTGACATCACTAGCCCCGCCCACTTCGCGCTTATGACCCTTGGGCTACACCCATTTCAAATCTTTAAAACAGCCTGCCTCAGCAGCTTTCCCGCTAGTTTTTCGCCTGATAACGATTGCTCGTGTTGCAATCGAAACGTCGTCGTTTTTTTGTTCTTTTCTTTGAACCTATCCACGTAACTTTACCAAAAAAACCCAAGAATAGCTATGTATGTTTGTATGTTGAACCTCTTTCGCAACGTTCATAGTCAACTGCTTCGCACCACCCAGCTTCGTGTTCATCATGTATAATTACGAAAGAACATTTCAAGCATTGTGTTGTTTGAGCAATAGTTTGGCCTATGGAGAATATACAACAGGAAGTTTTGAACTTGCATCTCTCACAGAGTTGATGCGTTTAATCACTTTAACAGCTAAATAGAATATAATGCTGGAATGGTGGAGGTATGCATTGCATAACTTGCCACATTTTTCTTGACTGCTTGAAAGCAAATATTTAATTCGGTAAATGCTAAAATTGTCCACTCTCATTACCAATTGCTTTATGAGATTGTGATGTGAATAATAACCCATTTCAGCAGTGAAATTCGTGCAGATGGCTATAATTACGACATGTTGCCATGGTGCCAGAGATTGATTTACTTACTGCCTAAGCTTGGTAGGCATTTAATGCTTCACTTTAACTGCACTGTGATGAAATGTCGAGCTTCAGGGTTGTAATTTGATTGAAGAATGCATTACTTTTCTCGGTAAAAGTCGTTGTGGAGTGGCGTGCGAGGTGAATTCAGGAGAAAAGAGCACACCGTTACTTTAAACCCCCTCCGTCCTGCAATAATGACCACACTCCTCGCTCGCATATGAGAATCCGTTAAAATAATGTGTGAATTCAAGTCAACAAGAGTTAAACACTCGTCTTTTAAAACGACCGGAGAATCCGTCCGGACAAGATATGTTCTTCTCGCTTCTATTCTCTCATTTGTATTGTCTGTCTTGGGAGTTCAGTTTTTGGCCCTCTTTTTCTCAATTTGTCTGACTGTATCATTCACCTTCTTTGGTTCTTTCGGTAAAGTCACGTAGAATGAGAATAAAATAATAAATTGATAAAATAAAATAACGCAATAATATTCTCACGACGTTTTTTTTAAATTTTATTTTATCAATTTATTATTTTATTCTCATTCTACGTGACTTTACCGAAAGAACCAAAGAAGATGAATCATTGCAGTCACGAAAGCTTTAAATCGAAATGTATCATTCACGTTTTTTTGTTTACTAGGTAAGGCCTCACTGAGCATATATAGTTCTTTCAGAGGCAACCTGGCCACAAATGAAAGCTCAACGAGGTGTGGCTTATCATGTTGAAATTTATAGCAGGCAAATAATCTAAATGCACGTTTAAAAATGTGGAAGGAAAAACCGGAGGATCCAGAGAAAACTCCACGTGACCATGGGGAGAGAGAGAGAGACACGCAAGCTCAAAACATACAGCAGGCGTCAGAGTTAGGATCAAACCCACGACCTCCTGTATACCAGACGAGGTAGTTAACATCTCCACGTGACCACAGGGAGAACATGCAAATTTAAAATATACAACAGGCATCAGGGTCTGGATCGAACCCACGACCTCCTGTGTACCAGGCGAGATGGTTAACATCTCACCACCGTGTCGGCCTATGATTTTCATGACCCGTAAATTATTATTGCATGCCCAATTTCACGCGTGCACTAATATCTTGAGCCTAAAAATCGATCGTAATCTCTTAGATCGCTCTGTCTAATGATAGGTAATAAATAGGCATGTACAGATCTATCAAGTCATCGATTTAAACAACATTTAATGCTCATGATACATGTATTGCATCATGCATATAATAATATATTTTTTGATATCACCAAATTGTATGCAAATGATCCTTAAAGGGTAGTGGTTAGTAGAATGTATGACGTACAGAAGATGAATTGGAGGGTATCCATGACACTGGACAGTGCAGTGAGACATAACACATCACGCACAGTTCAGAAGACACAAACAAGAGAAAAACTTGCTGCTTGAATCGATTTGTGATGCAAATTCTGACAATTCATCAAATCGCGGCAGCAGTGATGTGAACCGTTACGTGCCTCGTAATAATGCCCAACAATCTGAGCTCTGCGCTCAAGGCTTATTTTTTTCTATTGCAAAATCCAACCATAATTGGACTGCAAATCTAATTTCCATGATCGAGTGCAATGGATTTACCTCTGTCAGGCCACCGTTTCTGCCAAGCTACTTATACCAGTGTTCCCTGAATTAATGCAAATGTCCCCAAACGCTTAAGCGTCTCGCAAATTAATGCACTGTTGTCAAACAGGCAGAATCTGAACTGATTGCATCGCACATTCCTCGGATTGCAGTATTGTACCGGGGCAAATACTGGTCAGTATATTATTTTCAAATATATTACTGTTTGCTATATTGTTTGTTGGTGCTGCTATTTGTGAACCAGTTAAGTGAATATATCACAGGATCCTTTTAAAAAAAAAATTGAGGTGCACTCACCTGAAGTGAGATTTCCCTCAGATTTTCTTTTACCGGCTGTAACAGGCAAATCACATCACTAATCCCACAAAAGCTTCTGCTGAAAATGGGTCGTATTGTAAGGAGAATTTGAGATATAATGGAAGCACGGGACAGACTTTGTATAAAAATAGAATTTTAATAATGTAAGAATGTTCTTCTCTGCATTGTGAACACGGTGGTTACGTATCATAACGTTTTATGGAAATCGGGAACATTCATTTTTCAAATAAATTGTGTTTGCAGATAATTTTATATTATACTCTAATACAGGAATCTCTCGCTTATACGTAAGGGATGCGTTATTGGGAAATGCTTCGTAACGCAACATTACTTAAAGCGAGCTCTAATGTAGAATGTACGACGTACTCTAATGTCCCATCTACTTCACGTTGAAATCGGGGGTT